TGCTGCGCCGAAATAGGTTGGTAAATGCGCCCGGGATGTACCGGGTGCATCTACAAGCCGGCTCAAATTTCAAGACCGCATTGCCAGCCCATTCGTGTCCCTGTGTTCGGCTGTGGCTATAGAGGTTGGGAGGTCCTGTGATGCTTGATTCGTGTCAGCTTGCGTTGGTGCCAGCTCTTTAGCTCCGTAACAGATGTATGGTCTTGTGTACGCAAGCCGCTGCATCTTGCCCAAGGAAGTGCATTGTTGATCCTACGTCAGTTCTGTTTGTGCCTTAACAGTTCTTCTTTTTACAATTTGCTGAACAAGGTGTCTATGCTGATTTGTGATCTTATGAACATAGATCATTTCAATTGTGACTCCGAGAACGTTTGCTACGTGAGCTTCACCCCTACGTTCAGCCGCCACATGATGTGGCTCCTTGCTTCCTTGCAGAACTCCCTGGGCGGCTGCATTAGGTTGTGTAATGACATCCCCTGCGCACACCGACCGACCAGTTGTACATCAGTGCCATTGTATACGTGGCGCTCCGGGAATGCAAAGCAGTGGTGTACTCGCGAAGAGTAGGTTATGGTCTGCAGTCTTTTCAACCATCGTTCTTTTCAAAAACCGGATCCGTTTCCCCTGGGTTTTTGCATGGTTTCCTGAGAAGATCCGGATCCCTGGAAAGAATGGAGAGGGTACCCCTCGAATTTCTGCCCATGCATATTACACCATCTCCAAGTTAGGCCCACAAAATCCAGGGGTTTGGGCTCACCTGAAGGTATTGCTAGCTTGCTACTCCATTTATTGCAGGCGCAGCTCCGGCCAGCTCGCGAGATGCGCCGGGTTCGTTTTCGAGCAGCCTGCCCGAAGGCGCGCCACTGGGACGGGGCCGCGGCTGGGACGTGGAACTTGAAACTGCTGTCAGGTGGCGGTGAGTCAAAGCCACTTCCCCGCCTGGTTGGTTTTAAAGGGAATCGATTTCACTACTGGAAGTATTTATGTTTTTTCCAGGGGGCTTAAGCAAATGGAAGATGAAAATATCAGGGGACCGCAGCTTTTAGTCCATGTTTCCTCTTGCAAGGGTTCATATTGGGTACCTATTTTTGACCCACAGCCAGGTCGGACCTGTTTACAGGCACATTGAGAAGGCCAAGTGGGCACCCAGGCTTTCTTACCTAGGTCTTGTATGACGGCTTTGTCTTGCTTACTTAGTACAATGGCAACTGGAAGCACACGGGTGAGCGACAATTAGTTAGCACATTGCCCATTGCTCCCCATGGCCAACCCATTTCCTGGGCGAACTGGACCTGGTTGGGTATAGCTGATTGTTGCTCACGGCTTTGGCTGGTGGAAGCCATAAGCTGCGGACCCAGGAAACCACGAGCGAGTTGCCCCGGGAGAAGACAGAGTTTTAAGCAGCGCCTTTCGGGTCAATTTGAGAGCGTCCTAGTTTTGCGGAAAAAAATCCGGAGCCCTGGAATGGTTGTTGTTGTGAAGCATTTTACATTGTTGCCTATTGCGGTTTAGTGGCAACTCCCCACTTAACTGCTAAACACTTCTTTTTTTGCTCCCCTTCCAACATCAACCAAGCTCTTAAGACGGGGGTCAAGTCTTCTCGTCCCCGCCGCGAGGCTCTTTTCCTGGCGGAGGCGCCAGCGCTTCAACTGAACATGGCCATTCTGAATTCTTGCTCCCGGGTTTGGCGCATCGCCGCCGAGGAGGTTCTCCAATGGCCAACCAACCTTGGATCTTGGGATATCCGTGCTCTCATTGAAGCAACGGGAGTGGGAGAAATGAAGATCGCGCGTCTGCTGATCTCTACCTGCATATGTAGATGTATATATACAATAATATATTCGCTTCGGTTCTGTTGGTTTTGCTGCATTCCTGGCCCCCGGCAGGAATTTCATGTTGCAATTCAATCGTATCCCTATGTAATATAGGCCACACTAAGTCAAGCTAAGTTCGATCACATCACCACCAGCAAATACCTCTACCAGAGCCTTCGCAATCTAATGATTAAACCCCATTGTTCATTTTCTTCATGCTGTTCCATTTCTCGAGCTGTTCGCCTTTGCCGCATCAAACAAATTGAGGAAACCTGCGCTCTTCCGGGGGCCTGGTGCTGGCACCCTTGACAGCATCATGCTTGGGGAAAGAATATGTTGGAATTTTATGTTTATCTCCGAATGATCAAATCAGACAAACGGCAACTCACCAACCAACCTTGTACTCTCCTTTTTTTCTCAAACAAGATTGTGCTGCCGCATTTTGACAAGATTGTCACTAATCAACTTGTGTATGAGCTGCCTTTGGACTTAAGGAACGAACTTACAGTTGCCTGAAGTGCAGACGAAACTCTTGGCGAAATTCTCACGAAGCCTAGCCGATCTTTCTTTGTTTGGCTTTGGAATCCGAGTTTGGCCTGGAACTGAAATTCGCAGCTTTGACAACTGATCTTAGTGGACCCTGGTGCTTTGCAAGCCCCAGAAGTGCTTTGGGCAAGAAGCAAAGGCTGAAATCTGATTTTGGGTCTGAAGGGCTCAGACATTCGATTCCAGGGAGCAAATTGTCGTCAAGCTTTTCGCCGACCTTGCTCCGACCTTGTCCTGGAGATAAAGCTTGATTGGAATGGGCAAGGCGGATAGGGGTCTATTCGTATGAGGTCTATTCGGCGAACTGCGGAAGTTGATGCTCGATCCAAATGATAGTCATGTTGGGCAACCATTGGTGTTGAGCCCATTTAGTACAACTTAATTATGTAGCCAATGTATATGATTAACACGTTTGTTCGATTATTTTGTGTAAATGAGTTTGAATAGACTAGCATGATTTAGTCTGCATAGTGTGTCAAAAGCAATTACTATGTGTGTTTGGAGTGTCTATAAAATGTGATAGAGATATGTTTGACATACAGCACTACATGTAAACCATGATTATGTCAAACAAGTACACACCTGTACACATGCATGTATAAGTAACCACTAGATAATATGTACTGTGGTGTCATGTGTTGTTTGTTGTATGTATTGTTGTTGTTGTTGATTGCTTATTTGTTTATTTATTGGGTTAGTTAGTTAGCTAGTTCTTCGTTGAGCACAATCACATACTATATCTACATAGTAATAATGACAGGGATGTACTGGGTATTCATAGATTGTTTTGGCTGTTCCACACATATACACTAGTCGGTGTACTTGTGGTCAATTGGCAATAATTTAACTACATACATGTTGAACTTGATACGTGGGACACTGTTTTCGTTTGACCAACAAGGCATGCATAAGAAGTAATTGATATGACATACAACATATATATATATATGCATATACACCATATGCATATTGTGTGTTACACTGAGTACACCACATATATATATATATATGTTGTGTTATTGACTGACATGATATTGAATTGATATGACGTTTCAAAGTCCTGCTTCATTTTGTATTGTTTTGATACAATACTAGTTATGTTGCCTTTAGGTGACTCGAACTGGATGATATACATATATGGTCTTAATTTGGAGAACCGCAATGTCAAGTTATGTTATATATATATATACACATGTATATAATAGATAAAGCATGCTACATTAATTACCACTTGTGGTTCCCCTTCCCCCAACACTTCCTGCCCTTGACTTCATTGGGGCGTATCCGGCCGCGCGGAGACCCTGGCAAGTAGTCCCGCGCTTTCCAGTGGATGGCAACCAGAACCATGTAGAACTAGACAGCGGAAAGTTGGTAAGACGTCTTTGCGCGGCGCGCTCTTCCTTCTTTTTTTTGGAATGAAGGCCCTTCGGCCCCAAAAAGACAAACACTGCTCATTTCTTGGTGGCTCCCAGCCATCCGGTTCCTTAGCTTTTTACCCTAGTGTTCAGTGGTAGTTTTGATTTAACCCACCAAAAGTTAATTTCTTAGCGGGGGATCTGAGGGCAGCCCAGATCTGGAGATCTCTTCTGCTAAGGCCGTTGGCCATGGCTTGTGCAGGTTCGGATGGCTGTGGTTGTCAACACCGTTTTGGGATCCCATTTTGGGGTAGGTGAATTCGCCACCCATTTTAGAACCTATTCCCTGGGGGGTACGGGCTTTTGATCCATGGCCAGATACCAACGGGATCCCATTTTGGTTGGTAGGTGAATTCACCACCCATTTTGGTCGGGATCTTAGTGGGGATTGGGATGTTCGCTGGCCAGATCTGCTTAGAAGGGCCACGGGCTGACGTAGAACTTGGGTCGACTCGAGTTAGTCAGTTCAGGATTCCACTTTTTGACTAAGTCAGGGTAGACTTGGTGGTCCAATACCCCCAAAAGGGGAACCTCTAAACCCTAAACTGAAGGTCGACCCGGCGCTGTATAGGGTCGACCGCAGCGAAGCGACGGCAGTGCGAGTGGGTTTAAGTCTTTCTTGAAATAGTCAAAACGTGGAACCCTGAGTCAGTTGTAACGGGAACCTAGTTATAACTCCCACTTACAGTTACGCCCCCTCTTAAGTGGAGATAACCAGGTACTGTGTGGATTGTTCAGGTGGCTACCCACATACTTAGCCGAATATCAAACAAAAAAGTATCCTTCTCCTCCGGGGGGACCGGCGGATGCACTGGACGAGAAGCTTTCACAACAGAGAGCTCTTGCTGGGGCTCTGAATCAGCATGGGATACTCTTTCATTTGTTGGTTTTCAAGGGAATCGATTTCACTATTGGACATACTTTTAGTTTTTACCGGGGGCTTAAGCTAATGGAAGTACAACAATGCTTTCCCGCAGCTTCGCAGAAAACGCCTACAAAAAAGCAATCCATTTGCAGGTACCTGGAGTCTCCATCCTTCAAAAATGGGTCCATGACCCCTTTATTTCGGGCAATGACCCTATTTTTAAAGGGTCAGAAGGAGACTCCAGATGGAATCGCCGAGGTCTTTACCTGGGATTTGAGCATACATTCCTTGTCCAGGTGCTGTGACTAGTGCCAATGGATTCCCGGTGAGGCACGTGCATGTCTAGGACACTTGCCCCGC